TGTTTTACTTCCTTTCTAACCTTTATTTTAAAAGCATTTAATCTGGATACTATATGAGGGCAGGCTTACGTAAATGAGGGGCATGACTGGCCTACAGCATCAACAGATAAAACATTATGCACTTCATCCCATTCACTTTTCTCTTTTCCCTACCTCCTGCTACTTGACTGTGAACAGAATGGACTCTTCCTCTTCCTAACTCCAGGATCTAGCTCAGAGTAGACACTTTGCATTTATGGAATAAATGAACATAGTTTTATGACCCACACAGTAAGATGAAGGAACCTGCTGCACACACATTGCTGCAGACTCTGACCATCTTGGCTTACATCACCTTGCTACAAAGGTGACAGGTACAGCAACGTGGCTCTTCCATGCACAGCAATTTAGGAATGTGAGATTACAAATGACCTTGGGGAAATGTCTCCAGTTAGTTAAAATGAGTCAGTTGACTGCTAATATATATATATAATCTTATGTTACTGGCTCCTCAAGAGTCCACCAAAATAGCACTTTAAGGTATATTTTTCTAATCTGCTATAATTTTGAAGCTGCAGTAAGAGACATTTTTCCTCATCTGCACTAGTAGAAAATGGCACACTGCAGGTATTTCAAATACATTAAAACAACAACTACGTTGAACCTGCCTTGGAGACACAAAAGTACAAACAGGAATATATTTCACTGATATTTTCTACCAAAAGAAAAGTGCTATGCTAAGTTAAATGTCTTAGAACCATAAGACAGTCTCTCTTCTAGCTGGGGCAGGTTGAGTGTTGAGCTTTATCCCTAGACAGAATGATGCGCTCTCTCATGGTTCACTCTAGCCATGGTGTGTTATTTGGCTTTTTTTTCCCCCCTAATCTGGATGCTATTTCAAGCCAGGTTCTCCAAAGTGAGCTACAAAAGGTTGTTCCTGCTCCGTACGTGAACTCATATTTAAGCGATTCCCTATAGATACAAACAGTGCAGGAATCACTGGGGATATTTTCAAAACAAGAATCCTATTTCCCCCAATTATTCTGTTGTAAAAATGTGTCCAAGTAATTGCTAGATGCATTAAACATACTTACCGATTCATTCATTCAGTCATTCAACAAGTATTTGTTGAGCATATGCCACATGACAGAAACTATTCTTGGTACTAAGGCTACAGGGGAGAACAAAAAAGTCACAAACACCGTCTTCAATGAGGAGCTTAAAGTTTTTAGCCTAGACAAGCAAAAAAGTAAATAAACAATATAAAAGATGAAGCTAGAGCTGGGCAGGAAACAATCAAGACATACATTAGAGGACAATGGGAGATAATGTTATCTGAGAGTACCTTGCCCACCTGGCTCCGCCTTCTGGCCCCTTGCTTTGTGGGTAAATGTTCAATTTCAAAGAACCTCAAAAAGTCAGGCATTTTATTTGTATTAAATTCCAAAAGCAAATGATAAGCTGTTTCTTAATTGGCCACCTGCATACAATTTAAAATCTGCATGAGAAAAGGAAGGATGCCCTTTGGAAAAAATGTTCCCCATATGTTCACACAAAATAGGTTTAAAAAATAATTTTTAAAATTAAGCATCTTATGTAATGTTACTTTTTTTAAATGAAAAACTTAATTTGAAGGTAAAAGTCATTAATCCTGACAGATATATCCTAACAATGCACTTTTTTCTACAAACAGGGGAACCCTGCCTATGAGAAATATTTAAGACCACTATTACAAAGTTCGAGAGCCAAGCTGTGAAATAATCAGCAGCATTCAAGAGGCACCACCATGTGATAATGGCACTATTTAATGGCATATATAGCATCAATGGCATATATAGCATTAAATTTTAAAGTATACTTCATATACACTTTATATATTTTCAAGTATGTATACATTTATATCTTTTTGGTTTTTTCAAGTAAGCTCTACGCCCAACACAGGGCTTGAAATCACGACCCCAAGATCAAGAGTCTGCCGTCTCAGCCAGCTAGGTGCCCAATAAAGTGTGTATTTTTTTAAAGAGAATCATTATCTTTTAGAGACATAGTCTGAAATGAATGAAACATCTGTGATTTACTTTAAGATAATCCATGGGAGGAAAAAAAAGAGCAAATAGTTGAAGATGATCAATGGGTACATGAATGTTTGCACTATTCTCTTTACTTCTGAATATGTTTGAAATAAAAAATAGTAGCACTATCCATTGGTAGTTTCTATTTTGTTAAACACCAGGGTTTTAGGTCTTTAAAAAAACTCAATGAACTTATTAGTTATCACGTCTATAGCACACATTTATCTGAGGCTTAAAAGCACATAAACAATGTGTGCAAACACAATCCTCCAAAAGTGCCTAATACTCTAAATAAAATGTAGAGTCCTGAGAATACAACTAAATATCAGTTTTTGAAAATCAACTCTTTCACAGTGAAAACAACTTAAATTTTCCTCAGGGGAGCCTGGGTGGCTAAGTCAGTTAAGCTTCTGACTTTGGCTCAGGTCATGATCTCACAGTTCGTGAGTTCGAGCCCCATGTCAGGCTGTGCTGACAGCTGAGCCTGGAGCCTGCTTGGGATTCCGTGTCTCCCTCTCTCTCTGCCCCTCCCCCACTCACACTCTGTCTCTCTCAAAAATAAACATTAGAAAAAATTTTTAATTTCCCAAAAGAAGATATAATTGTCTCAAATTACCCAAATATAATCAAACTACATTTTTCATGTTGTCCAAGTAAATAAAACAATCAAAATTAAATGCCACCAGACACATAAAATTGCAAAAAATCTCAGCTGGCTACTTTCTCTAATTTATTCATAAAAATAATCATTCAGTTGTTAATAATTAACAAATCTGAGAAATTTTATCAAAAACAAACTTCTCCCCAGTAAAATGGTCACAGAAGAAACCTCGTAAGTTTTAAACTTTTGAAATCCTGGAACAACTAATATTAATCCCATTTCTATATCTATTTTCAATTCAAATCATTGTCTTGCATTTACCTCAGCTAACTCAACAACACATAAGTGGCTGAATATGTTTTTTTAGGTAACCTCTAATCAGTTTGAAGTATGAGACAATTTTCTAAAAAGATAACCTCATCCTAGCACATTTACTGGAAACACAGCAACCTGCCAATAACATGAAGAGATATCAGACTGAAGACAGTTCAGCTGAAGATGGTGAAAAAGGGGTAATTATAGGTTTCTGGATGTTGGTCATTTGTCAAATCTTAAAATAAATTTTCAGAGAGACACGGGCAAAAATGGATATAGGTAAGTATTTTCATCCTCTTAGGGACAGAATCTCAGAATGTTCTCATAGAGGACGTAAGGAGGACCCTACTCAAGGGCACACAGCCTCAGAACTCCATACTTCCCCTAGAAAATAGGAAAGGGGTGCCTGGGCGGCTCAGTCAGTTGAGCATCTGACTCTTGATTTCAGCTCAGGTCACATTCCTGTGGTTGTGGGATCAAGCCCCGCATTGGGCTCCACATCCCTGCCTGAGATTTCTCTCCCTCTCTCTCTCTCTCTCTCTCCCTCTCTCTCTCTCCCCCTCTGCCTCCCTCCTCTGCTCACGCTCTCCCTCTCTCTCTAAAATAATAATTTAAAAAATTTAAAAAAAAAAAAGGGAAACAGGGAAGAAATTACAGGATTTCTTTTATAAGGTGTTCTGGTAAACTAGGAAGTCACGCTGTAGCTAAACTAATCCTTCCTATAACCTCCAAGAAAGACAATCAAATCAACTATTCAAAATAAAACTACAGTGAAATAAATAAAAGTACATACGTATCTCCAACTGCTCCAGAGTCTCCACTCACTGCAGTTTTTCTCCTCAGAAACGGACTTAACTGTAATAATAAAATATATTTGTGGGCCACCATAACGCTATGAGAATAAAGTGGCTAAAGAGGCAATCTGTCCCTGTGCTCAGTACGAAGCTTAGAATAAGGGTCATATTCAGTGCTGACAATTGGTGGCTTACTGAAGAAAAATCTATAATCTTCAACCTAAGTCCTATTTGAGAAAATTTATCAAACTATTATGCTCACTGTTCAAGTATGCATTATTTTAGATAAAACTACTAATTCCATCCATTCCTGCTCCAGTAACACAGTACAGTTCTGTAGACTGCATCCTAAGGTTCTACAGAATCCTCTTGAGTCAAATACAAATGTGCTACAGGCAGTATATACACTGGGACATAAACCAAATAATGTGTACTTTACACAAGGAATATAATATTCCCCCCTTAAGTAACAATAATCAACAAATACAAACCTAATTTTCATATTTCATTTTTTTATTAGTTTTTTTTTTTTTTTCCCTGGTAGACAGTACACTTGGGAATTATACTGCACCAGGCATAAGAAGTAAGAGTTCTACCACAGGGACATTTTGTATTCAGAATCCAATATAAATATTTCTAGTCAGACATTTCCATGGCTACAGATATTTGGTTGCTTGATTTATATGCATAGAAAGAAACAGTTGTCATAACTGTAAAAAGCAGTACTTAACAAGTACTTTTAAATGATTGGAACAGTTTTCCTTTAATATTACAATACTGCTTATTGGTTTGGAAACTAGGTCACCCTACATGATGTTTTGATTTTTGTCAAAGGCATCATGAGTACTCTGTTTATTCTTTCATGCCTGCATTTTTAGCCTTCTAGTTAAGTTAGGGACCATTTAATCAGAAATCATTGTAGCACTGTAATAAAAAAAAAAGCTCTGTTAAGAGTAGATTATATACCATAATGATTTTCATACTTCTTTTTATAAAAAAGGTATCTGGAGGCTCTGAACAGGCACATGCATACTCAAGGTAAAGGGAACAAAACATAGAGGAGTCTGCTAAAGCACAAAACTTCCTTCTGGTCCTCAATGCCTTCAAATAAATACAGATATTTAAAAAAAATTCCCACACTGTGATTTAAAAAAAAAAAAAAAAAAAAAAAAAAAAAAAAATCAGTCTCTTCCATGTCCTGGAGAGTCAGTTTCCAGGAACTTCTCCCAGGCTTAGAGATCAGTCATCGGTCTTCCGGGCCAGCCGACAGAAAGTCCAGTTGTGCTCCACTGTGTTCTCATTGGCCCGCTCACTCATGTGATGCACTCGGGTGTTGCGGATCGTGAAACCTTGTTTTGTGATGTATTCCATCAGATGGACCCGGAGAGAAACTTCCTGGTGATAATCACAGGGTCCAAAAGTAAAGGAAACCTGGCAATCTCTGGTGTCCATCATGTGCTTATTCCACTTCGTAAAATAGTTTGAGATACCTTCTAGTAAGGAATGGACCTTGGTGGTGATGGTTAATTGAGTTATGATGACAGCTACTGGATTGGAGTACTTAGAAAGCTTCCGAGTACTAGATAACTCCACAACTTCTTCAAAAGTATCCATAGGATACAAAGGCTTAGGGTCATTGAGACACTGAATCAGGGGCTCAATCTGATAAAAATCTGCTTCTTTCCGAAGCAGATCAAATTCCTTAAAATCCAGGGGTAAGGTCAACTCTGAAGTTCTTAAGAAATTGAGGACGTATCGGAAAAGAGGTCCGTCTCGGTCAATGAAGTAATTGCCTTGAGGGTCCCGAGCTGTGGGGAAGTCCCCCCCAAACATAGCTCCAAGCATAGAATCCGGGTAACGCGTCAATGTAGTGAGAGACGTGGTATACAAGTGTCCACCTACATTTAACGTGACTGGGTCAGTCATCTGAAATTTTTAAAAAATGATCAGTCATCTGAAATTTCTTAAATCTTAACTTTGACAAATTAAGAAAATTAATGGTAACAAGCAAAGCAAAAGATTCCTTCAGGCTATAATGTACTTAGCAATCCTATAACGCAAAACAGCTTTACTGTTAATGATAAACCAACCCAGATAAAGGGATCTAACGTTTTTTTTTCCATAGGAAAAGGGTAAATCTAATTCATTAAAGCCTTACCCTAAAAATGGACGGTAATGAAGCCTTACCCTAAAAATGACTTCCAAAGCCATTTACTTTCAGGCCCAGTATCTACAGAGAAGTTTTTAGGTCAAACCAGACTATGGGAAGAGAAAGGCCAAACTGAAATATACTCATTTTTTTCTGATTTAAAAAAAGAGAGAGAGAGACTTTATTTTAACTCAATTTAACACATAATAAAAATGATTTGATAATATAAAGATACCTACTTTAAATACTTACTTTGTTTTTCCCACTCAAAAAAGAAGAAATTGTAACATTTTAAAAATAAAAATTTGTGCAGTCCTAATCTTTATAATTTAGCCATGGAAATAACAGTGTCAAATACTAAATTAGAATACAGTTTAGTCAACACAATCTCATATATTCAAAGGCAGCTTTCAAATTTTATAACCTGATAGCATATTCACTTTTGTACATTAACGTTGCAATCTGACCTTTACCAGCTTCTCTAAATAATACATACCTTCCATTTTAGAAATTATATTTAAGAAAAAAATAAAATAAAAATAAAGACAGACAGACTTCAGGTACCAGGCAAGTGAAATATTTCTTACCAAAGGAAAACAAAAATTGGAAGACATGCACATCAAGAAAGTACAGATAGGAGAAGTGGCACATTCTCCACCTTTAACTTCCCTAACACAAGAAAATATCCTCTATACCATTACCTACTTGACTATTTTAATAGTCACTACTCTACAAAGGAAGAGTTTTAAGAACAACACACTTTAAAGACCAAAAGGTCCTTAAACTAAGCTCATGATGATGAGCTTTCTCAAGTGACTATAAAAAGTGACCTGGAGAGTTCATACTGACTTTGCCTACATAAAAACACCAAACTAAACAAAAACACCCCCAAAATAATCTGAACTAATTAAGGGGGAGGGGGTGTTGCACTAATTTACAATTTTCATTCTTATAAGATGTGTTATACCTAAGAATACAGAAGAAGGAAAAGATACACAAAAATTATTTGCCAGCCTTCAAAACGCATCTGCAAAAGCCTCTCACCATATAGCCCCAGTCTCCATTATCCATCTGCTCCAGCGCTGCGTCTCAGGGAGCCCAGGTTCCAGGGAAACTTGGGGAAGAGAAAAAGACATATGATAGAGCATTTAACCATGAAAACAGCGAAGGATTTTTCCACCCAACAGAGCAGGCCAACCACCAGAGAACTATTCATCTTTGCTCAACCAAAACCAGCTATAGGGCAAAGATCTGGAGAAGAAAGCATTCCTTTGGAACTTCTACTCATACCTAAGAGATTGACCATCTTTAGAGAAAAAAATTATCCTATGCTTAGGGAAGGAGGAAGAGCCTAGTTAGTAAACCAGTCATTCAAATTCTACCTACGCTCTCTGAAAATTCAATTTTTAGAATTTCTACAGGAGAACATTACGATTAACTCTACAGCCTTATTCTGGTGCAAACCTATAATGATCCTTATCAAAAAGCTGGTTTAAGAGAAAGGGAAAAAGAGAAAATTCTTTTTCATCCATTAGGCAAACTATACAAACTATCCAGCTATACAAACTAAACATCTCAGTAAAAGTATTAAAAGTCATGAACCTCCAAGACTTCAAGTGACACCAGTATCACTCCAAGAGAAATATATCAGAATGGTATTTCTTTTACAACATTAAAAAAATTAATTATACTTTTAATAATGATATATTTCATTCGGTACAATAATAAAACAAACAGAAAACAATGTAAATGCCAAATCATTAGAGCACAATTTGGAACAAAAAGAACCTCACAAATCTGGTTGCGAGTTACTCAGCCGGCACTTACGGAGAGGTAGCCTGAAGACATTGATAAACACCCAGACACTAATGATGCCTGTTTGAATTTATTTTTATCTACAATTCAAAAGCATTTAAACACTTTCCCAGCTATGGAATTGGTTCAGTCAGTCCCCTCTCACACACATCATTCTCCAAATCAACCGGCAAAACAAACTGCAGAGCAAATTTCAAAAGCTCTGGCAAGAGACAGTCAGAAACATGAACTTATCGGTTATTTATCCAGGAAAAGCACTGGCTTTTTAATATGGTCTTTGAACAGATTCACTTTTCCCACTTTTAGAGAAATCTGGCACACTATTCCCTGGCTGCAGAAGATCACAAAGGCTCTTTCTCAAAAAGGTCACTCAGGCATGTAGAGAACATTTGCATAGCACAGCATGGGCTGAAATCAGAGCCTGAAGCATCTATTTTTCCACCTTGCACATTCTTCAAAGAAAACAAGCTAAAATGTGGACCAGACAACGTGCAGTCAGGTTTTATTCTCCATACTCAGCAGTTGGATATAGATAGGCCTCCACATGCTACAGGGTGAGAAATGGAACAAATGTCAAATTCAGGGCTGTTGTGACAACTTTTCATTCCTCTGACTTGCTTCACAGCACTTGAAGTAAATAGAAACAAGAAAACAGGCTTTACCAATTTACATTATGTGCATCCGATTCAGTACATGATACAGTGGACAGAGCAATAACTGATTTTATTTTTTTTAATGTTTATTTATTTTGAGAGAGAGAGAAAGAGTCCGGGCGGGGAGGGGGGAGTAGTAAATTAGGGGTAGAGAGAATCCCAAGCAGGCTCTGCACTATGCAGCCCAGAGCCCAATCGGGGCTTGATCTCGGGAACCATGATATCATGACTTGAGCCAGACGCTCAACTGACTAAGCCATCCAGGCCCTCCAGTAATGAAGTGATTTAAAAGGCCAGTCATCCAAAAGTTCTGATAACAGGCTCATCTCTGGCATCTTCCCATCACCCAAAGTATTTATTCCTGACAGCCTCAAAAATAGATGAGTCAGGGCACCTGGGTGGCTCAGCTGGCTAAGCATACAACTCAGGTCATGATCTCATAGTTTGTGGGTTCGAGCCCCACATAAGGCTCTGCACTGCACTGACAGCACAAAGCCTGCTTGGGATATTCTCTCTCTCTCTCTCTCTCTCTCTCTTTCTCTCTCTCTGCCCCTCCTCTACTGTTGCTCTCTCTCGAAATAAATAAACATTTTAAAAAATAATTCAGTCAACTGAGACATTTATTATAGGTCCCCTGCGGGGCGGGGAGTGTGCAATGGGGATACACAGAAATAGGGAAGATACAATCCTTGCCTTCATGGAGCTTTCTATCTGTGAAGAAAGGCAACATGCAACAACTGTACAGAATTCAGAAGTGCTACATAATAGATGGACTAGCAAAGGCCTTTGGGAAGAAAGAGCAAGAACACTTCCAAATGGGAGGACTTCAGGAAGAGCTCACTCAGTGGAACTCTGCAGGAATATTTGGACAACCTTAGAGAAGGGATTCCAATGTGAAGAAACAATTTAAATAAAAAGAGGTAGAACTTTTTCTCCCACAACATTCTTGATACAATTAAGTAGTGCATGAATTACTGTACCTATTTTAGAGATGCAAAATAGAGAAACAGATTAAATGACTTTCTCAAGTTTCCACAGTTGGAAAGTAACTAAAAACTTAGATTTTCTGACTCCTAGTCTAGATCTTTCTATAAATCGCCTCTTTGGGTGGAATTTGAAAGAACTGAATCCAAGAAACAAAAAGCTGAAAGGACTAATTTTAGACACCCTCACAGGTAGATTTTATTTACAAATTTAATAGGAACTGAGTCTAAGTGAGCAGTCACAATGGGTTTGTAAAAATTCCCCTGAGGAAAAATAACAAGAACCTACTCACTATCATGACTGAAGACTGGTGTCCTCTGTCTTAAGTGAAGTAAAGAACTTTAAACCAGGAACATCCGAATGGTTAAATGAGAAATGGGAGACCAAAGACAAAGGAAAAAAACAGATATCATCAATGTTACAACTGTTGTGCAAGGTCTGTCCACTATTAACCTTCCCCCCCCCCCCCCCGCCGACTTTTTACCGCTAAACCAAAACAAGGTAACTCTTTAGCAATCATAAAAAGAAAATTAGATGATGCCTTTGAATCTGTTCCACAGCAAAAGCCAAGGTTCTGTTCCAATACAAAGAAGTAATGAAACCTCAAGCCTAATTATTCAAGAAAGCAATTAAGGGAACCTATATAAACCCATGTTTCTTAAAAAGCACCCAAAAGTCTCCCTACATTTGTGTATAAGATGCAGATACATCAAAATAAAATGAAGTTATTATTAGTCACTTCCAAAAACAATGACTAAACTGTCCAAAAAAATCAAACTGTTCACTAAAGAGCTCTAAGGGAAAAAAAAAATAGTATTGATAAAGTTTAAATTTTATCCCTACTCCTTACTTCTAAACATTCTCTGTGGAGATGCTTAGATACAGCAAGAAACAAACCAAAACAAGCAGTTAGATTCCTGGTCACCCAATAACTGCACAATCAGCCTCTATATCGATGACTATTAGGAACATCTCAGAGATAGTACACATGAATGAAATAAAACACAATCCGAAAGAATTTCTGGAATAGCGGCAATTCCTTCTACTAAATCATTTTTTCAGAGCTGCTAACTATTAGAAAATGATTCATTTGCTTTTCATCTTCTCCCCCTTCTGGCACAATCTCCAGTGGAGGGCTTAATGAGAAGTTAAATGACCACAAGACAGGCAGCAGAAGGAAGATCTTAAAATGGGCATCAAATGGGCCTGTTTTACTTGATGAAGACAAAGAAAAATCTAATATTCCAGAATATTTGCCGGGAATGGAGATTATGAGGGTAACAATGAAAAAAATTTTCCTTTAAAGTGACTCTCCTTACTAAAGATCATTTTAAACAACAATGAATGCAACCAAGCCCAAACAATTGTAAAGTTCAAAGAAAGGTTTCTGACCCTTAAAAATCAGTCCCACCTGAAAATATCTGACTGTAGGTGCAAACAAAATTCTTTTTTTTTAAGATTATCCTCAGGGACTTTTTTTTTTTAAGTTTATTTATTTATTTTGAGAGAGAGACAGTGAGTGGGAGAGGGGTACCGGAAGGAAGCAGTACTGGAAATTCACCCACATTTAAGCTTCAAAGGTTAATCATGACAAATGTGTAAATTCTGAAGGTGTAATGTTAGCAGATAATTAAACTACGGAAAATACATACTGAAGAATTTTTAAAGGCCTTAAAAGAAATTGCTAAGAATTTTCTAAAGTTGCAAATCTGAAAAATGCACAATTCAACAAGTTAGTAACTTAAAGAATAACCTAAGAACTCCTGAAAGCCATTCTCCTCATCACTGCAGAATTCCAATCAAGCTTTTGGTTATGATGAACTAATTTTACATAAATATTCTGAGTTTATCATTTCTGCTACAGACTACAACTAAGAATTCTCCCAGGCAAAAGTCCTACTCCTATATTACAACTTACACATCAGAACACACACCTCCAAACTTGAATAAATAATAAAAACCTATAACTACTGCCTACCCAAAGTTCCCAGGTAGCCCTTACAAAATGCCTTTCTACTGAAATCTCTGTGTCTGGCATTCAGAAAAGACCCAATAAATTCCATCTACACATACCTTCAAAATTACCTTTGTACGGAATTCCTCTGTTCTTGAAACATGGGTGTTTGAAAGTGAAATACTTTTTATAGTAACTAGTTCAGCAACATCTAAAGGAGTCTTTTGGGTTGATGTTCACATACAGGCTGACACAAGTAGCCAGGCACACAAGGAGAATGTGATTATGGTGTTAGGTTATCCTTAACCATACCAACACAGAAATAGATGGTTTTTTCCTAAAACGAATTGTTTCTTCTCTCTCCTCTCTCCATGCAGTCTACAGGAAAGGCGCTCTACGTTGAAAACATGACCTTAAAGCTAAAGAGCTATCGCAAATAGTCACAAAATCAGAAGACACCTCTTACCCTCAGTTTCTACAAAATAAAATGGGATAATACCGCCTTCCACAAAACAGTTTTACCACCAAGTCATAATACAAAGGCAACAACCGACCCGCAGGGTAAAAGATCAGGACTAGGGGTTCTGAAGTCACATGCAGGCCAGTGCAGAGGAAAGAGAACTGCTCCCCAGAGAGGATCTGTATCCCACTTCTGCTCCATTACT